AGAAAAGTTCAAATCAGTTTTCTTGATTAAACTTGTATGTATCTTATGCTTATACTGATTAAAGGAATTGTGGTAAGAGTTATTGATTAAGGCTTCATTTGAGACGACTTTTTTACTGTTCTTAAAATAACTTTTTAGTGCAAAAATTAAATTTTTTGTATTAAACCGCCTGAAGACGTCGGAACTCTGCCAGATTTTCAGGAAACGCCGAGAATTTGCAGAACTTTGTAACTTTGTGAGAAGTTGATTGTAAATTTATTGTCTTGATTTGTAAGACGGATCAACCTTGTACTTCAGACAAATACTAGTTGAACTTTACAACTGGGCGAGGCCCCGTGGTTTTTTCCCTCTTTCGGGTTTTCCATGTAAAAACCTTGGTGTTCATTTATCTTATGTTTGTGTGTTGAATACTCGTACAACTCTCGGACGCGAATTTACAAACTCTACCGCCGCATATATTCTAGCACGCAACAATAATAAATCTCTATTCATATTCAATTGGTCTTTTTATTTTCCATCAACTAAATTTATTATGTTAGTTGGTGCTTTTTATTTCTCTTAGAGGTTTTTTTTGTTTGAGATGACTTGATGTTTATATCTCGTTGATTTTTCCTGTTGCATTATATACCAACATCATTAGCCATTACATCTACTATTTTGGCATGATAAGATACTGATTATATTATCTATAAAATGTTAGGACTTCAACTCCATTATGTTCATCTTCTTCGCTTCTTAACTAATTGATGTGCAATTTATGGAAGAGGAAATCTTAAGGTTTGTTTGGTTTGATGGAATTGTAAGAGAGAAAACAAAATAGTTAAGGCCCTGTTTGGTTTGAAGGAGTGAAGAGGAAATGAAAATGGTAAATTGTTGAGTTCAAATTTGTTTTCACACATTTGTTGGTTGAGAAGATGCAATTCAAATAGTTAGTGTAACTATAAAGTCTATAATATTTATTGCATGACAAAGGGGCTATGGTTTTTCTCTCTTCAATTTCACACGGTCTGCTTCACTCTTGCTATTATCTCATTATTGATATATGATTAAGAGGTGAACTAGCTAATAGCTGCTCAGCATAATTCCCCCCAACTGATTAATGTTTATGCGAGCTACATTATTTCTTGATTGAGTAAATTTATATTAATTTGTTTTTTAATGTGGCTTGACATTGATTTAGGTTAGCTTATTTGTGTTTAAAGGCCATTTGCTTGTTGATATTAGAATGGAAGCTCCTATTGTTCGGCCGCAACATCAGGTCATAGTGTGCGCAAAAAAATTGATCTCTTGGAATCATTTCACTAAAGTCATAGAGTTTGATGGAAATAAACAATTCAAATGCTTACATAGTAGCACTACATATAAGGGAGGTGACAAAAATTGAATTAAGCAATATTTAGTAGGAGTTAAGGGGAATATAGCTGCCTGTAAAAAAACGTCACATGATATTTGTTATTAAATGCACAAAAATTTAAAGGATATATAAAAAATGTATCCTTTAAATGACGTGGTAGATGAAGGAAGTGATTCTCTTTCTCTGCCAAAATCACAAACATCTGAAGTATATAGAACATGAGTTGATACATGAAAAAAAAAAAAAAAACTTGACGACATAGAGAATTTCTTTGCTTTTAGTACCAAGCCTGGATCTCAACTCTCTCTCGAAAGAGTCTTAGGATCAAAAGATACAATACATTGTACATATATGGCTATAAGAAGACTGTTCTTTGATTGTTGTATCCCATTTTATGCCTTGAATTCAATCTATACATAGAAAGCTATTGATATCATTGCAGCCACAAGTCCAATTAAGTTACAAAATTTCATCATATTATAGAATACGAGTTAATATGCTTAGATATTACAAAAAGGGGTGCATATTACTTATTGATTTGTACGTATAATCTTGGAAGGAGATGGGTTGTATAATCATGGATGATGGTTGGACTGATAATGGAAGCAGAACACTCATAAACTTTCTTGTTTAGAGTCGAAGAGGTGTATATTTTTAAAATAAATTGATGCTTCTTCTCTCACCAAGGATGTTACCACCTTGTGTGCTCTATTCACTGGTGTAGTCGAATGGGTAGGTCCAGAGAGCATAGAACAACTAATTATTGATAATACTATGCAATATAAAAATCTGGTGAACTGTTACATGAAAGATTCAACAATATATACTGATCACCTTGTGCAGCACACTGTCTGAATTTGATATTGAAAGATATATGTTCCATGGCTCATATAGAAGAGCTTGCTAGAAAAATATTAAAGATGACAATTTTTAGTTATAATCATGTATTTATTCTTGCATAACTTAGAAAAAGATCAAATTGGAAGGAGATTGTACAACCAGGGGCTACAAGATTTATTACTACCTTCATTACTTTAAGAAGTGTTTATGATCACAAGCATGACTTGCAAGCTTTAGCACCAATAAATTCTACACGATTCAAAATGATCTAAAATCACCAAAGGAAAAGTGGTTGTTGTAATTATTTTATATATGAACTTTTGGAATGAGTGTTTAGTTATATCAAAAAAATATGGTCCATTGATTAGATTGCTCTGTATAGTTGATTCAGATGAGAAGCCTTTATTAGGGTATTTTTATGATGGCATGTATAGGGAATGAAAGGCAATAAGGACTATCATAAAAAATGTGAAGGGATTGTATAAGCCATATACTATTATCATTAAGAGAAGATGAGATTCTCAACTTAGGCAAGACATCCAATATGTTGCATATTTTTTGAATCATCATTTTCAGTATGATAAAGAAAATTATTGTTATAAGCTAGAAATCATGCAAGGACTTGTTGAGTTGATTGGGAATAAAGACATTTGTCCAAAGCCTAAACTTGCAATGAATGAGATTAGTTTTTTTTTAGGATGCCTTCGAAAGTCTTGGAAAGCCGATTACTCACATTGTCAAAAGAAATGCAACCAGATATTTCATTCATAATGTCAACATATACTAATATTTCAATTTCATAAAAATGAAAATTCATTAAGACATCTCTCTTTATATTTTATAGATGAGTGGTGGAAGATATTTGAATCAAGTGTTCCAAACTTGCAAAATTAGCAATAAGAACTCTAAGCCAAACATCATTCTCTTATGCTGTGAAAGGAATTGAAGTGTCTTTAAATAAATTCAGTCAAAAAGATGCAATCTTTTGGAGCATCAACAACTCAATGATTTAGTATATGTTTGATACAATCTCAATTTGAAGAATAAGTATAATTTTTAAGTATATTAATATTGAATAATATTTTTTTACATTATATGATAACGTACTAATTAAAATAATTCCATCACTTTTAAGGTTTTTGCATAAGAAAAGAAATTATGATCAACACATATGTTGAGTTGGTGGATGTCTGGATATTTGAGGATGAGCCAACTCCATATATTGTCTTAGAAAATTTAAAGAATGAGCTCTATGCAAAGGATGCATGAAGAACAAAATATGTGTTTAACTCAATAAAAGGTATAGTAAGTTGATAATTATATATTGAAAATTATTTGGATAAATAAAAAATTGAAGCCTTATGTCATGTTACTTTGTTAATGAAGGTGATATTGATAACGAAGGGAATGGAGATGATATAATCGAGTTTGATGCTATAAAAGAATTTGGAACAAAAGATTTTGGCAAACTAGGACTTGGAGAGTCAACCTTTGTGGCTAGTTTTGATGATACAAATTTAACTGATATTTGATTAGCTTCTTGTAAAATTATTTGAATTATTAAACTAAAAACTTTTGATGATACAATCATCTTACTTTTCTTTTATTGTAAGGAATAGGTAGATTTATCAAATTTATAATTTGCTTGATTAAGCTTTTTTAATCTATACTTTGGTGCTGAGTATTTTTCGAGTATGCTATTTTTAATTTTTGTGAATATTCTCCGCTGTCATCTTGGCACTAATTTATACATATTTGGATAATTGTTTATTGTATCATGCTTCAATATCAATTTCAAGGTAATTTTTTTCCTCTATGCAAGTTGATCTTTAGGATAGAGAAGCATAGAAAAAATATGAATGTCTGAAATAATAAGGTTAGTTGCTTACAAAATGAATGTATTTATTCTATATGTTTGAAACTTATTTTGTTAAATTTTTTATTTTATGTAGCTGATTTGGCCATCCTGTGCGACAACCGTAAACAGCGAATGGCCGAACACCTCATATGAGAACCTGGAGATTTTGTTGATGCTGTTGCTGTTACAGCATAGTTATCTAATTCAAAAAAAGAATTTCAATCATCATTAGCCAATCAATGACAAAGTTTAATTCTATCCAAAATTTTCATGTTTTATATTTCGTGATCATTTATTTTATTTAATTTAGTCACATTTTTTATAAGATTTTATTAATATAAATAGATTTTATATTTAAATAAAATTAATATTTATTACATATATTTAAATAAAATTAATATTTATTACATCTGATTCTAATCCGATCGAACTATCAAAATGTAAGTATCTCATTCTTCCAATTTTCTGTCTGATCCGATTTTCACCGCCTCATTTTTATTTGTAAATTTAAGTATTTAACTTTTTATAATATTCTTCACGTTATAAAAATTTTAAGAGATAATTTATTTTCATTTAATTTCACCACCTGACCCTGCCTCATTTCCTTCCGCCTTTCTCGCCAGCAATCTCTGCGCTCTCTCTCCTCCCCTGCTCTTAGATCATCTCCAACCGAAAATCTCATTTTTTCACTCCAAAATGCCGGAAACTACAAAATGCCGTGATTTCATCTCCAATGGAACGCGTTTTTCACCCTTTTGCAGTTAACCGTCGCCTCTTTTTTTCCCGCGACAAGTTCGGTAGAGTGGTAAAAATGATGGAGATGAACAGTGCAACGCCAATATTGGCGTCCCACTGTTCACCCGCAGCCATATAGCGGACATTTTGCAGTTCGGCTGGAGCTGGCCGGGAGCTCCATTCAAGCGTTTGGAGGTCGGTTGGAGATGCCCTTACTACCCCTGCACTTACTCTATTTTTGTCCGTACCACTCTATATCTTTCTTCTCCGCCTGCCTCGCAAAATCCAATTCGGTTACTGCTGGAATGCTTCACCACTCATTTCTCTGAGCTGCCCACGTAGTCCAAATAGACTTCGCGATGCCGGCGGCCCTTAGACTCGCCGCCGCCATCTTTCTCTTCTGCATCTCGACGATCTGCTGTCTGGAAGACGGCACCGTCCCTGACTTCAGCAATGCGTCTCCGGCGGCGTTGCCTTACTTCACCCAAGTCTTTTATGACCGCTTCTCGAACTTCAGCGAGAGCTTCGCCGTTGAGATCAGTCAGCATCTCGGGTTCTGCATCAAAGATCCGTACGGATGCTCCTCACACTTGGATTCTTGTTTTTACTGTCCGGCTTTTGGGTTCTGGGATTGATGCGTGAGGTTTTTCGTTTTCAGGAAAAAGGACTGGAACGGAGCGTTCAACTTCTCGTCTGATCTGGAGTTTGTGTCTGATTGTATCACTGATACAGATGGTATGATCTCTAGCATTCAGTTAGACAGCTGTAAGGAAATTTTAGGCTCTGTTTGGATCCTGGGAATTTGAGTGAAAGGAAGTGAAAAGCAGCTATAGAATACCGATTCATTGATGATTGACCCATAAATTGCTACTATTCTCTTCCATTTTCTCGAACTCCCTCCAATCTAATCAGAATCTACAGTAAATTTTGTTTAAAGAAACTTAATTGATGTTTCCATGGCGTGTCACTTGTGTCCATTGGTTATATGGTTAACTTTGATTGGTTCTCAAATCTCTGTAGTTATTTGACTCTGTGGAAATCAGATCAAATTCTTCATTTAAGTTATTATTCACCTACTGCTGCACAGCTTTCTTATAGATCTTAATCAATGATGATTGCATAAATTTGTGAAGTAGGCTTTACTGCTCTCCTTCTGGTGTCTGTGAATAAATCTAAGGGATCAAAGTTAGGCAAGATAAATCTGAGTAAAAATTATTTTTAACCCCAAAGTCTAAGCCTTTAGGGGAGGGCCAACTGCTTGTATTTTACATTAATAAAATTTTCAATCATCTATGCGCGACCAAACTCAAAGCTTAACGGGGCATGGGGTTCTGGTTTTATCTGCACCATTAATGTTTGCGTTGATTTATATCTCTTTTTGAAGTTTCACTGGAATGTTATTGAAATTTCTTTTCTTAGTCACTACTAACAATTTAATTAAGCTCCTGTTTCCTTGGGGTCCCTTTCAGTGCACTACATAATTTCTAAAATTGAACCGCTACCAACTCTAAATAGACCACAACTTTTTGATCCTTTCAACTTTGATTGCTCCAGTGACTTCTTTCAACTTGATCAATACCGAACAATATATCTTTGCTAATTTTAGATGGAATGCATTATGGATGATTGCATGGTTACTGTCGGGTTGACCTTAAGGAGGTCTATGCCTTGACCTTCATATTGGTCAAGATCGTAGGTAGATACAAAAATGTCTTTTTATAGGCATTGTCTGAAGAAATGTTGTAATAGAAATGGTCTTCGATACAATGACATACGAAGAAATGGTCTTCGATATAGCTAGATCATAATTTTGAGAATACACAAAGGAGCCACCCAACATTAATGCAAAAACTTCTATGAATTGTTAGGCGCAGCTCAACATCTAATTTGGGATGGGTGCACCACTCATTCAGAGTTATCAATCGTCGATAAAAATGCTTAGTATTGAGACATAATATAATGTTCCTTGAGAGTCCTTTAATAAGATTATTGGTTGATGCAATTTAATTCCTTTAGGCTTGTACATGACTAAGATGTTAGTATCCAAACTGGGATTGAGTGTTACAAAAACAGACTGTTGCATCAACCGTTGCATGTTGTACTACAAAGATGATTCCACAAAAACATCATGTCTCCATTGTAGTGCACTTCGATTCAAACCAAATATGAGAAATAGTTAAAACAAAATTATGCTTCATTTTTTCGGTTGTTTTATTTGTCTATCACAATTCAAGTGAGCGACCTTTATGGATTTGTCAGACTGTTTGGGGTGATTTGAATAGAGCTTGGGGCAGTCCTGATTATATCAAGAGGAGGGAACGGAACAAACAAAATAAGCTTCTGATTGTGGGGGCATGGGGAGCTCCAGTTCATACTGGTGGCTTAGATCCTCATATTGATGATAGATGATGTTTGGTAAAATATGCTCCTTTAGTGTAAAAAGAAGTTGACTGACTCATGCATACATCTTCCTCATTAACTGTGTTTATTTAATGTATTTTTTATTGAAAAAATCACTTGGTAGAGATCTCATTGCCTTGGAGTTATATACTTTCACCTATTATTGTTAGAAGAATCACCAGAGGGTTGATTAGAGATCAAGAAAACCCTATGTGAATTTTAGAATTTATATAATTTTTATGTTTTTAAGTGACGTCTACATGGTTTTATATGTATTTTCTACGTTTCATAAGGATTACGTATGGATTCATGAGAGTCGGGCTTCAGCTGTTGTGGTATTTTCTATTGGATCAACATAATTTTTCAGACTACAACATGTGGTCGTAGGTATTAGGAGGTATATAGAATGGGAGAGTATATGATCACAAGCCTATGTGTGAGAATTGGATAGATCGGTTCAATGGAACCGTCCATCATAAATAAAAGTAGGCAAAGCCAAGCGAGATACGCTAGCAGATGTTATGTGCGAGTGGGTTGATTGAGCGAGCGATAAGTGCTCGGGCAAGTGTGGGTTTTGGAGCGATCGTGAGCTAACCTATGCGACTCATCAGAGATAAGTGTTGACACATTTTTTTTGCGTCAACTTGACTCAAATTGAGTCGAATCGAACCCGATCGGGTTTGATTGAACCCGATCAACTCATTTGATCCACGTCAAACCCAATTCAACTAAAATCGACATCGATTCAAGTCTGATTTTATAAAATTGACTTGATCAAATTAAATCGAGCTTAATTCAAGCTCAAATTGAGTCCAATTGGTTCAATGTGAACCCAATTAACTTTCCAAATCAAAGAATTCTAATCAACGGCTTTGATCCTCTTGATTTTCACTATCTACACACGCTGTTTTTCCGTCAAATCCCATGTATCAAGCGATTGAGCACAGGAGCATCCTTCCAAATCCATGAAATCGGGATACAAAAGGTTTTTTTTGTTTTGTTTTCGTTCTTCGTTCTTTTTGTCTAACTCCCTGCATGCGTTCAGCCGGATGAAAGAGGAAGAGCAATAGAGCACTGCTATTTCAATTGTTTGGTTTAGAGTTATATTACCGTGTTATACTGCTTTATTATCATATGATTCTTGTTTGTTGATAATTATAAAAGAAATTGTTTTAAAGGGCTTTTTATTTATTTTTTTTTGTTACATATTTTCAACGGATTTTCCATTGGAATCCGTCAATACGGAAAACTAACGGGCATTTCTGCTGGACGAAATCAACCAGAAAGTCTGTCGGATTTTGTCCCGCCGGTTCCCACGACTGAATTACTAATGAATTTTTTTTTAGAAATATGTTGTAAATTTGCCTTAAATATTACTGAAAGGCATTTTTTCCCACTAGAAACACTTTTCTTATGAGCTTTTTAGTGACGAATTATTATTCGCTGAAAAATAAAATTTTCGACGAAAATTTTTGTCAAACATAAATTTTCTATAGTGGGATACGATGCCACATTAATTGAGTTCAAAAAGTCTTGATCACATTCAAAATCACACAAGCATTGCATGTTCACAAAACTAATTGTGTTAATGAATTTGAAATGCTAAAATTATCAAGGAAGGACACGCATATTGATTGCATTGTCGCACAAGAAAAATTTAAAATTTCACCTATTTATAAGACGAGGGCGAAATTTTGACATGTATGAAGAACGAGAAAATACATAAGTCAATATACCTATTAGTTTCATTTTCTTACGAAATTATTTGATCACACACACACACACACATATATATATATTAAAAATTAAATTTTTTGTCAAATCCCAGTCAACTCAAATCCTTGAAATCCCTTCAGCTTAGTATTGTAGTGCAATGCCAATCCCTTTTCTTGTCTCTATCTTATCCTACTATAGTCATGAAAAGAAACATAACTAAAAAAGAATAATTTAAATCAAAACCCCACTCTCATCTCTATCTCACAAGCCCAACCCATCTTCCTCTCTCTTATTGTTCGATGTCATTCTACTCATTCTCTTTTCAATATCCCATCCTTTTCAATATCCCATCCTTAGTTGAACTCACTAGCCTCCTCTTCAACTACCACCACATTGTCTCCCTCTCTCATCTATTTATCATCACTCCAATTGAGAACCCTAGTCTAACACAACTCTCCCTCGCTTCTCTCCTTTTGGTTTGTGCACAATTCAAACCTAGCCAACAATGCTATCTATAGTCTCTCTCTCTCTCACTCTCAATCTTCTCCACCAATGAACATCCTTGCTCTATCTCATATGGCGATCTCGCTGTTAGACCGGTCCCTATTGGACCGGTCCAGCCGGCCTGTTGTAGAACGGGAAGGGGGTCATATGAATTTGAAATTTCAAGTTAAGTGGGAAAGAGAGACAGTAAGGGGTTACCAAAATTAAATCTAATTTAAAATTAAATTAGACTTAATTTCAGGAACTTTCCTAATTTATCTTGGTTAATTTAGGAAAGTATTTGAAATTCAAATTGAATTAAAATCTTTCCCAACTCATTTAGGCTAATTTAGGCATGTAATAATGATGATTGAAATCATCATCAAGAGGGCCAAGGAGGTTGGGTGGGGGGGTGTTCACATTCGATGAATGTGTCCAAGTTCAATGAATCATAAAAATTGGTATTAATTTCAATTAAATTCATATTGGGAGAGATTTAGGGGGTTTCCAAAAAGCGATTTACTAATTAGAAAAATTAATTTAAATCAAATACAATTAGAAATTTAATTAGATCCAACTTAAGTAACTTTTCTAAAATAAGAATCCTTAATTAGGAAACAAATTCAAATTCAAATTTATTTGAATTTTGAATTAGAATTCATTGCCAAATTAAGAGGGCTAAAATAAGAAGGGTTTTGAATGCAAGACGAAATTGGTGGAACCAAACGAGGGAGGAGGTGGTCAGCCGACTATGGAGGTGGAGGGGTTGATATTTGTTCCAAAAGAAAAGTTAACCAAAATCAAACGAAATAAAACAAAAATGGACGGTGAATGATGGAGACTATAGATGAGAGGACGGATAACAAAAAAAAAATAATAAAAAAATAAAAATGATACAAACCACGAGCCCGGACTCTTCCTGCGGCTGGTGGATACTACGTTGCCCTCCCCGAGGGAATTCAATCCACGAGCCCGGATCCATCCCACGACTGGTGGAAACAAGATTGTCCTCCCATAGGACTTTTACTCTCCAAAACTCACATAGAGATCAAGACAAATGCTCTAATTTTTTTTTTTTAGTAATCCATCATTGATCTAATACAAGTGCAAGAGCCTCTATATATAAGCCTTAAAAGAAATGAAAATACAACTTTGCCCCTTGGGCTTACATAAGACAAGACCCTTAAATAAGGGTAAAAACGAAAAATGCATAATTAAAAATAAAAATTTAAGATAACGTAGGAAAATCACGGCCGTTGATCTTCAACTCCTCGGTTATGCATGAACGGTTGGATGTCCGCATCATTCTCCCGGGGTGGAAAAGAGCTCGGCTCCGTCGAGTCCGCACCTCAGGTAACCATGCTCTAATATCAAACTTATGTAGAACGGGAAGGGGGGGTCATATGAATTTGAAATTTCAAGTTAAGTGGGAAAGAGAGAGTAAGGGGTTACCAAAATTAAATCTAATTTAAAATTAAATTAGACTTAATTTTAGGAACTTTCCTAATTTAGCTTGGTTAATTTAGAAAAGTATTTGGAATTCAAATTTGAATTTCAAATTGAATTAAAATATTTCCCAAATCATTTAGGCTAATTTAGGCATGTAATAATGATGATTGAAATCATTATCAAGAGGGCCAAGGAGGTGGGGGGGTGTCCACATTCGATGAATGTGTCCAAGTTCAATGTATCATGAAAATTGGTATTAATTTCAATTAAATTCATATTGGGAGAGATTTGGGGGGTTTCCAAAAAGTGATTTACTAATTAGAAAAATTAATTTAAATCAAATCCAATTAGAAATTTAATTAGATCCAACTTAAGTAACTTTCCTAAAATAAGAATCCTTAATTAGGAAACAAATTTAAATTCAAATTTTGAATTTGAATTCATTGCCAAATTAAGAGGGCTAAAATAGGAAGGGTTTTGAATGCAAGACGAAATTGGTGGAGCCAAAGGAGGAGGGAGGAGGTGGGGTGAGGTGGTCAGCCGACTATGGAGGTGGAGGGGTTGATGTTTGATAAAAAAAAAAGTTAACCAAAATCAAACGAAATAAAATAAAAATGGATAGTGAATGATGGAGATTATAGATGAGAGGACGGATAACAAAAAAAAAAAAAGATACAAACCACGAGCCCAGAGTCTTCATTCGGCTGGTGGGTATTATGTTGCCCTCCCTGAGGGACTTCAATCCACGAGCCCGAATCTATCCCACGGCTAGTGGAAACAAGATTGTCCTCTCATAGGACTTTTCCTCTCCAGAACTCACACAGAGATCAAGACAAATGCTCTAATTCTTTTTTTTTTTTAAGTAATCCATCATTGATCTCATATAAGAGCAAGAGTCTCTATATATAGGCCTTAAAAGAAATGAAAAGACAACTTTGCCCCTTGGGCTTACATAAGACAAGACCCTTAAATAAGGGTAAAAATGAAAAATACATAATTAAAAATAAAAATTATAAATAAAATTTAAGATAACGTTGGACAATCACGGCCGTTGATCTTCAACTCCTTGGATATGCATGAATGGTTGGATGTCCGCATCATGGCCCCTTGTGAAGGGCCAGCTCACGTGTATAGGAGGCTGGCGGCAAGAGAGCGGGAGAGGGAGATGGGGCCTACTAATTCAAATTCAATTTTTTTGGAGCCAAAGGAGAGGGTGGCAAGGGAAAATTTGTCCTTTGGTGCTTAATTGATTAATTGCATGCTTTAAGTAGAAAGGGAGGATTAGGGTTAAAGCATGCTTTGTTTTGGTAAATGATTTCCGGAGTTCTTGTCTTGGTGTCTTCGGTCCTAGATTCGTCTTGAGATTGGGAGAGAACGATCCTCCTCTCGAATTGAGGATCAATTGTATCTTGCTTTATTGCTTCCATTGTTTGATTTCCACAATAAAAAAACTACTGTTTTGATGTTTTTCCATTATATTTGTGAAGTTTTCTTGCTGTTTTCATCAATCTTATTAGGGTTTACTTGAAATATTTAAGTATTTCCTATCACTCGCTAATCTTCAATAACAATTTGTATGAGAAGCTTCTACCCAATTATATACTAACCAATCCCCAAATTGCGAGTAAAATACTAAAAGATCTACTTTTATTCTTCATTTTCTTACATCGGTGAACTCAACCCAACAACCACCTCTAAGCCTCTTCTCTCGTTCTCACTCTAAGAAAAGAGAACCAAAAAAAATCTCCCTCACTGGCTTTCTCTCTCTTTTTCTATCTACTTGACTCTCATTCTCTCTATTTCTTTCTGTTTCTCCCTTTCTCTTTCTACTTCTCTCTCTTACTCTTTCTCTCTCTATTTCTTCCTCACTCTCATTCTCTCTACTTCCCTCTCATTCTCTCTACTTCCTACTCTCTCTTTATCACCCTATTATTACTGCTCTCTTTTTCAATAAAAAAAAAAACCAAAAAAAAAGAAAAAAAAAAGTAGAAAAATTGTGTATTCTTGCCGTGAATTCCTCATCACTTCATCATCAACAATGCCGCTTCTCACAAGGTATAATGCAAAAGTTTTAAAAGTGAGTGCCCTTACATGTTGTTCCAAAATGACTGAGAAAATTTTAAATTAATTTCTCTTGCTCATTGTTTTGAACGACAGAGAAATCTTGTGTATTTTTGAACTAAAATAAGACTTACAAGGGACTTGCTATGAACTTGAAAGATTAACTGCGAGTGTGTATAGGACCTACACAGAGCTCCTAGCGTTATGAAAACTCTACAGATTATGTAGTGATTGTAAAAATAAACTTCAATGTGCTCTTATTTATAGAAGGAAGAATTGATCCCCCGTGAGGGCCCGCCTAATTGAAATTCCAACATGTAAAAATAATAAAAATGGCATTATGGAACATGTGATAAGATTCTTACTTGCCTTTGTTTCCACTATATCTGTAACATATGTGCGAGCAGATAGAAGACGATTGTAAAATTCAAAATGAAACATTGCACATGCTCTAATGACTAAATATTCATGGAAATAATAAATCTAGCTATTATTAAGTAATGTGCAAGCATCTCAAGGTGGCTTCCAAACTCAACTGCCATATATTGAGAAGCATGCAATTGCCTCGAGAAACATGCAGATGCCTTGAAAAGCATGCGGTTTCCTCAAGAAGTTTGTAACTACTCTGAAACACACAACACTATTCTTAAAATGTGCAGATGTTTCAAGAAGCATGCAATCATTTCAATAAATATTTAACTATTCTGGGAGGTGTACCCTTGTTCTAAAAGCATGGAAATGCATCATGTTAACAAATCAAAAAACGGATAAATGTATTGACATATGCACCAAAAAATATTGAAACATTAATGCCAATGCACTTAGAAATATGCAACTGCTTTGAAAAATATGATAACGTATAATGCACATGCACCGTAAAATGTGTAAGTGCACCATACAAATAAATTGAAAATATAGACGCTTAAAAAAAATCTTGCAAGTGCACTATGTACACACACAAAAAAGCTTGTAAGTGCACAGTGTGAGTGCATCTAAAAACATGAACACTTGCATCCTACCATAAAATTTTGACACTTCAGCTCACTTAGCATACTTTTCTGTAGATATCCAAAGTGATTGCTATTCATCAAATTAATGTATTATCTTAGATGAGGTTTCTTAGTGCTAGAAGTTCGCTTAAGATGCTTGTTTGCATGCTATCCTGGTGAACTTATTCTCTTATTTGCTCTTCATTGGATTAACAGGGGATTTAACACAACGACTTTGCACGGCAGCGGAAATTAAGTTATACTTCAACAGTTTCTTTATTGATGGGGGAAACAATGATTTCTTGAGGCCTAACAAAAACTGTAATACGACTTCTTGGGTTTCTGGTTGTGAGCCTGGATGGGCATGCAGTGTTGTTGAAGGCCAGAATGTTCACATAAAAGATTCTGCAAACATACCTTCTAGAACCCAGAATTGCCGTCCTTGCTGTGAGGGGTTTTTCTGCCCTCGTGGAATTACCTGCATGATACGTATGTACGCGAAAGTCTTGACTTTTCTCTTAGAATTATCTTTTCTTGCCTTCAGGACTACAGTTTACATTAATTGTATATATATTAATCTATGTTTGCAAGACAATTTATGTTCGTATCCATCATACTTGCTCTTACACTCATGTCCAGCAAATTCATTTGCTACTATTTCCATTTGAGATTATAATCCCCGACTATCAGATATATATTCTTGGTGGTGCAATTTATACTTGATACAGTTTCACATATTATTTTCTGTCTCAGTGCAAATTGGTATGTCTCATTTTCTAGCTTTATTATTTTCAATATTTTCAAGTTTATATGGATATTAAATTATCTCATTCTAAAGTACATCTAGTTATGCTAGAAATTATATATATATATATATATATTATTTGTTACATTATTTAATATTGAAAACCCAACTTTTCCGCTTGGTCTAAGGATATGGCAACTTTATTTTTCTCTTTGATGATGTTTTCTAGCTGTGCAACTGTTATAAGCTTAGATGTGCTTACCACATTTTGGAGGTGAGCTGGCATGTTAAATGATTGATTTCATTACCACCCTTGGGACCCCGCTCCAGAGATGTGAGGCATTGGATGAGTCGGTGGGTTGGCAGGAGCATTATTTGATACATAATTGTTAATGGGAAGAGCAGGCATAGGGATTACAGTGACATTTCTTCACTTCACCTACTTATGATAGCCATCTATGCGATAATCTCAATCATTTTGACATTTAACTAGGATATTTATTTGTCTTTCTCCCTCGTTTGGCGTCGTATTTGCCTTTGAGCTCGTACTAGCATAGTAGCATCAATGAACAACAAATTCTCTTCAAGGTCCTCTTTCTTCTCCTGAGGAGTTTGTGCCTTCTAATTAATCATATTGCATTGGATCTTCATGGGTTATATTAATTCCAACAACAATGGATCCAGCTCCATACTATCATTGGTAGACTTGTTAAGGTGGCGCTTCATTTGTGTGTTCCACAATATATACCATTTCAATTTTCATGATCTCTTCACCTTCATTTTTTTCTTGTATTGGGATCTTCGAGCGACATCTTCATTGAATCTTTGGCTCACTGTTTGGTACAAAATATTCTTCAACCCACAGACTGCCGTCATAGCTGGCTTCTTTTTCAGATGGTGAGGTTGGTTGATGATTAGATCCCTTGGAAGTTTCTCAAAGATGTCGACCATCTAAGAGATTGTCATCAGTAGTATTTCAACTTGTGAATTTCTCTGGTTCAGGGAGACCCTTATCATGTGAAAAATTCAACTGCATTGAAGCACAGCAATCTCAACTTCTGCAAGAAATTTGACTGCAACACTTTAGGCATACGCTCAGTTTGGGAAATTGGGCTACCTATCATACATTTTGCGCTTTTTAAGCCGAAGAGTAGAAAATATTAGGAATGACCTTTCTTTATTAGATTTAAACGAGAATTTGACTTTTAATAGGACACAATGGAGAAAAAGGATTCATGTAGCCGACCCCACGTAGTGGGATAAAGGCTTGATGTTGTTGTTGTTGTTGTAAGCCGAAGAGTAATTTAAATTCTGACATTTGTAGCCCAAAATCATGCATGATGATATATGCATTTTTTATATTGAACTTAGAATATTAGGATCTTCGTTGTTGATTCTTTGATTTTTATTGCTGTTCTCTTTTTATTACTCGATAGCTACCACTTAGTAACTCTGGGTAGAAATTGTTGACACGTTATATTTTTTCTCTTGGAATTCAATGAAGCATGTCCCTTGGGTGCATACTGTCCACGAGCCGAACTGAATACATCTACTGGTGTTTGTGATCCGTGAGTTTACTTTTCTTTCTGTTGCTGTTGCCCTTTTTAACTCAACTGTTAAAAAAAGTTAGACAATTTCTGCAGATACAACTATCAACTGCCTCCTGGGCAGACAAACCATTCTTGTGGTGGTGCTGATAGATGGGCTGATGCTGGAAGTAACAGTGAAATATTCTGTCCTGCTGGATTTTTCTGCCCCAGCACAGTTAGGAGAGTTTTTTGCAGTAGTGGGTAATGCTTTAATCCTCCATGTTCTAACACTTCTTTCAATTCTTCATTTTGGTCAATAAACATCACTGTACTAGATTTATGTTGTTTATACTGTTTGATTATTGATTTCTCACAATTAATGTATCTACACCTCACTTATTCCTTTTTAATTTTACAGATATTATTGCAGGATGGGATCTATATCAGAGAAAAGTAAGTTTCTGATTTCTAGCTAATAGTGAATATCTGTGTTAAAGGCGAAACCTATATTGTGCTTTAGAAGTTTGTTTGGTTCTATGTGAAATAAGAATACTAGTTTCTTATGATGCTTTCCAATTAGGACTTTCTTGTTCGTTTTGCTTTAAGTATCTGCTGATTGTCTTCTCCAAGGTTTGGTTGTCAAACTCTCAAAATTTATGATTCTATTGACTTGTTTGTTGTGGGCTAGCTTTTGTTTTTTTCTTTCAATATCGAAGTGCTTTCCTTGGTTTCCATATTATTGTCCATGCTAGCGAAGTCAAATTTAGACTGAAAAATAAAAGAACAAAGTTTTAATTCTGCAAAAAACTATAGAATAGAGAATTTCACGTAATTTATCAAATGTGTTAGTGAGATATAACTTGCCTCAAAACGCTTTCCGAAGTAGTAGCCATAGGTGCATCATTTTTGTTTCTTTTTTGATGTTATAATAGATGGTAATCCTAGAACTATCCTAATTCGCCCTCTCTCTTCGGTCGGCCGAAAGAAATGGCAAGGGACCGAATGAATCGGTCCCTAGGCGGTTGTGGGCTTAAGGAAAAATGTTTAAAGGCTTAAGACGCATGTGCCCTAGGTGTTGGTGTTTTTCTGCTGTAAACATCAGATTTATGTTGTTTTCCTGCTGTGGACAGCAGTTTTGCTGTTGAATGTTCGCCGATTTTGATTAGGTTACTTGCGAACGCAAGTGTTTCCTATCACATTTCTAGCATTGTTCTGTGATCTGCTCGCTGCTAACAAATTGAAGGGGCTGCAGCACACCTCAACATAGAAGATGCTGTCTTGAAGTTGTTCATCTCATAACATTTTATTTTGCTAGCTCCTATATTTATTTTTATAGTTGGAAGAATGTTTGATTGCTTTTTTTCTTTTTCCTAATTACTTTAATGGTTTTACCTTCAGTATTGGTATAATTATGCAGGATGCTTCAGGAAGAACTCGTGTAAACCAAATTCTGCCAATCAAAATATTACTCTATTTGGTGCATTGTTAATGGTATGTCGTCACTATACCTTTAAAGATCTTGAATTTGTTTAATTTTGTAGAGATATGTATTTCTTTAGTAAGATAAGCAGTCCATATTACACTGCAAAAGCTTTTTTAGCATGATTTTAATTCATGGTATTTTCTTTTTTGGAAGAAGCTAGTGTTTAAATCCAATTTATTTAAGAAAATTAATGAACAAGTTCAAGAAACAAGTTTTCCCACAAACAACACGGACATCAGAACAAACAGATTCCACCCAGTACATGATAAAAAAGAGACAAATTGTGCAAGAAGATTTACAATAAAAAACTTCCACATTGCAGCTTGACCATGCGAACCTTACCCATTAGCCCCTTACATAAAACCAGTGAAAACTAAGGAGGCACTCCTAAAATGTTGAAATAATACTTCAATCTGCACCATCGAAATTCAGCCTCTATTTTCCCAATATTCGGCTGCCTCTATTTTCCCAATATCCGGCTGAACCTTCTGCCTAACATCAATTTCAATTCAACACAGCCCAGCAGCAGGCCCCCAAGGCCATCAAAATCAAGGGGAGCAAAGAAACGAGCATAACAGTGAGTTTTGGAACACAAGAACAAACATGTCCTGCCTAACCATCTCCCCTGACAAAGAGAGCTGAAGGAAAATCAGGCCCCAAACTGCACGCAACTTGCAAGAGGATGTGGCCCGCCTCAGAAAAAGCACAATCCCAACTAAATTGAAAGAAAGTGTCTACAGAAAATTAGAGATCCAACAAATCGGAAATGGGGTTGCAAATTCAAAGCCACAAGCAACCATATACAGAACAGTAGGAAGTGTAAAGGCCTTTATATAAATCCACATGCAAATCAAATTCACCCAGTAGACCTACCCAGTACAAGAAATAATAACTTCTTCATATAAAACCAACCACTCCGAAGAGTGCAGACTTAGCTCTGGTTAATGCCGTTGCGTTATAATTTTGTTGGACTGCCCAATCAGATATGAAAGGTCATTAGTTTATTTGATTTTGATGGCACCTGCCATAGAAGACCCTCAGTGACATCAGTAACACTGGAAATTTTCTTCTGAAGTTTGCTCTCATTTCTTTCATACCAAATGTGCCATAGAGCCTTCTTAGTAGTACGTCTAACTGTATGTATAGCATCTTCATCTCTTATATTTTGTTGCAAATTATATATAAATATTTCTAGCCTTCGATTAAAGAAATTTGAGATACGGAAATCCTTTAAGCACAATGAATCATAACTCGTAATCTTTAAATCTCCTTTTAGTATAATAGTTCGAGTATAGTCATGAATTTCAAAGTTACACGTGCTCATGTTAGAATACTTCTAGGATGAGTGACCTCATTAAGTTGAACAAAAAAGTAAGTAAAAGTGGGGCTTGTTTGCCAAAGAAAACAATATGCTGATGTATGAGAACATGAATTGTTGTATATGATATTAAAATACTAAATCAGCCTAATGATGGGAACTTATTGCTATACAGGACAAAATATGCCAATGGGGTCTCCTTTTTAACCCATTCCAGACAAAATATATGGTGGGAGCCATCTGTTAAACCTTTGGGAACCACCTCTTGAATGATATCTAATTATTAGGTGATTTTGGGCTATGTGTTAGTCCATGTATGAGGGCACCAGTTCTTTAAATTAGGAAGATTAAAGATTTCTTAAATAGAGTTAAGCACAAGTTTAAACATCGAGCCACTATTCAGTGTAAAGGTCGGAATTTTATTATAAATTTCATAGTTAAATGTGCTTGGTTAAGCGTGTTTGTGCTTGAGCACTTTAGAATGGATGACTTTCATGAGAAGTTGCATCAAAATGTGCAAAACTATGAAGCAAAATGGAGAAGATCTTGATGACTGGCAATCCCAGTTATTACATAAGCACACCTTTAAAGATTCTTACAGTTAAGGGGGCAATGGAAGAAAAAGTGCCCTCCGTTGTACAATGGATGTAAATATCATTAGTTCATAGACTTCAAACTGAACTTACCATTGGAAATAAGTTTCTTGGAGATTTTATCAATTTACCCAATTTCCATACTCATGATCAAAGGCTATAGGTTTATGTAATTGGGGAGTTGCAATGTGACAAGTTCTACTCTTGTTCATTTTGAGTTTTTTGATCTTTGCATTATTATATATATTCCAATTAAGTCATTGATCACCATAGAAATTACATTTACTATTTTGGCCCAATATTAACTAAAACCCCGTTGTTATTGCATCTTTGAAGGTCAAAATATTTTTTGAATCTTGTCGTTTGATTAGTATTCCCCTTGCACATTAAAGTGCCAAATAACACTAGGTTTTACTTTTGATTTCTTTGGATGCTATGTCACATATTTAGTTTAACATGCTTCATTGAACTTGAAAAGGGGAGGGTGAGAGGATGTATCATGACTCGGCTCGAAAGCTCAAGCTAATGAGATAGGAACAGATGATTGAAAATTTATTATCAAGGTTGTGAAAATCGGACCGGACATAGAATTGGAAGGAGAGATTCACGGTTCAATGATTTAATCGAGGTCGAACCGGATGACCTAATAAATATGAAATTTTTTAAATAAAATTTAAATGACAAAATATCATGTAGTTATATAAAATTTTAATTAAAAAATAAATTGAATTTACAAATTAATAATATCTTATACAATTTTAAATTTAAACATCTTTAATCTTTAAATTTAATTCAAATTTAACAAATATTTAGCTTACATATAAATTTATAAACTTAATATAAATTATTATTATTTTATGTTATACATTTAAATGCAGTTTAAACCTATAAATTATATATTAAATTCATATTATAAATTTACATTTGTAATTCTCGTGTTGCATTAGCTCATAATTCACCTTGCCACAGCTCAACATTAACCACTGGCCATCATTCCCTTACTACAATCAGCCCCACCCCGCCACTATCAATGTTCTCTTTATTCACATTTCAATATATTTAAAACAAAATATAAAATGTATGAAAAAAAGATATAGCTAAGTGTTATAAATTTATATGAAAAAAATATGTAGCTTAGTGTTAAACATAAAACATAACATCAAATGTATGTAAAAATATGTACCCACAACTGAACTTAGAATAGAGATTTAAAAAATATGAAATACTTGCATCAGATGGCAGTAAAGTCAACTTTAACAGATTGTATCAAAGAAGCTCAAAAGATTTGTAGAGAATATTCAAAATTGATGGAACAGGTCCAATCATGGAAAAGATCAGATCTTTCTGTTGATGCTGATGAAAGTATTATGCATAAATTTTAGTTGTGGTACCAAGTGATCAAGTCTTGAGTAAGAAAATTTTGCAAGAAGCTCATTATTCTGGCTAGACATTTCATCTAGGCAGTACCAAGATATATAAGACGAAATTAATTTTTTGGTGGCCAGATATGAAAGAAGACATTGCAAAATATGTAGCTTAGTGTGAAGCATGTCAAATTGTGAAAGCTAAGCATCAGCGACCTAGTGGACTACTGCAACTACCTATTCCTGAGTGGAAGTGGCAAGAAATTGCAATGAATTTTACTATAGGATTTCCCATATCCAGATAGGGACATGACAACATTTGGGTGATTATTGATAGATTGACAAAATCAGGTCATTTTTTGTCTATCAAGGAAACTGATTCAGTAAACAAATTGACACATCTGTATATGAAAGAAATTGTCAGATTACATGGCATTCCAAAAGTATTGTTTTTTATAGAGATAGTAGATTCACTTCTAGGCTGTAGAAAAGCATTCATGAAATCTTGGGCACAAAATCGTACTTCAGTACAACTTTTCATCCTCAAATCGATGGTCATTCTGAAAGAACCATTCACATACTAGAAGACCTATTGAGATTATTTGTTTTGGATCTTTGAGGTAGCTGGAAAGATCATATACTATTGACAGAATTTACTTACAATAACAATTACCAATCAAGTATGCAAATGACACCATATGAAGCACTTTATAGTAGAAAAGTGTAGAACTCCCTTAACTTTGATTGATGTAGGAGAAAGACAGCTAATGAGTCCAGAGCTAGTTGATGAAGCAACAAAGAAAATCAGATTAATCAGAGACATATTAAAAGTTGCTTAGGATCGCCAACAAAAGTATTATATCTCCAAGCACAGAGCAGTAGATTTTGAAATTGGGACTTTGCATTTACGAAGGTTAAGCCTAGGAAAGGTACAATCATATTTAGACAAGAAGACAAATTGAGTCCTAGGTATATAGGACCTTTTGAAGTTATTGAAAGGATTGAGAATGTTGCTTATAGGCTTAGGCTTGCTCTTCCAGCCGATATGTCAGATATTCACAATATTTTCCATGTGTTTTTGCTAAGAAAATGGGTTACTGATGCCCATTAGAGAATTTCATATGATGAAATCGATTTAAAGAAGAATATGACTTGCACTGAAGAATAAAAAAATACTAAATTTTGATAATAAACAACTTAGAAACCATCAAATCCCTTATGTTAAAGTAAAATTAAAATACAAGCCAAAAAAGGAGGCAACTTGAGAGAAAGAAGAAGAGATTATATTGAAATTTCCTCATTTGTTTGATGGCCACTAAGCTAATGAATTTCGAGGACAAAATTTCAATAAAGAGGGATGAATTATAAGACCTATTTTTTATTTTATTTCTAGAAGCTGTTGTAGCCAAACCACTTAGCCAAGCATGCAGTGGTTTGATGAGATCCTATGACTGAGAGAGAGTAGGGATCTGTTAGTGGAGCATTAGTGTTATTATAATATTAGGTTGCCTAAAGCACTAAAGCTACATCATTTCCCTCCCATCCACAACACTCTTGTATACAAAAATGGCCGGAAGTTGTAGGGAAAAGGAAGGGAGATTTGGAGGCTATATTGTACCGATACACTTATTTATGAAGGCGTGCTATATCGGATACACTGATACACGAATACACCTCCGATACGGCACCGATACGTGTTGGATACGGCTTTGTCATATCCAATTAAATTACTATTTACTTTTAAAAGGACACGCGTATCTGATACGCTTGTCTGTTGAAAAACAAAAATAAAATCTGAAAAAAGAGACCTGTTCTATTTACTTCCGCGACTGCGAGCGAGGTTCTCTCATTTTCGAGATAGATTTGAGTCTCTTGATGATATGGGAATATTAGAAATTGCTAATCTTTCAGTTGATGAGCATAAATTAGAAGCTATGATATTTATTGAAGATGATATATAAGTTCAAAGACAAACCACTGAAGAAGCTAATCATATAATTTCTTCTATTGAATAGTTGAAACTTCATGTGCTAGACAATTTATGTTTATGCTTTTGTTGTTGTACTAGACATTTAATGCTTACTTTTATTTTGATATTATAAGCTATAAGGCTACAAATGATGTTATTTTTTTTTTTTAATTTTAAATATTATTCTTTGATTGCTTTTTTAATTTTTATGTATGATTTATAAATTATAATGTCATGTCCGCACCCGTGCCTGTATCCTGTATTTTTAAGAATTGATGTGTCCCATATCCGTATCATGTCGTATCCATGTCGCCGTATCCGTATTGCAACATAGGTTGGAGGTGACATTGTGGGCTGCTAGCTGTTGAATTTCAATTCTGCTGAATTTAGAAACTAGTTAAGAAGTAAAGAGGTAAGGGCTTTTGTAGGAATTTTAGAAATTGTGGAGAAATCAATAGTTTAATCTTAATTTAGTATTTTCTGAAATAATGTTTGCTGAAATTATAGTCTGCAGAAATCTATGTTTGTTGAAAATCAGTGAGGAGCATAGTTAAAGACTGTTGTTATGTTTGCTGAAATCTGTTCAAAACATAATTATTGAAATCTGTGAGAAATGTTGTAGTTTTAGCTGAATTTTGTTTTGGGATTGATAAGGAATTGTTGAAATGTTGAAATAAAGGTTTGGTGTATGTTGTCATTTGTTGAAATTATGTGCGCCGAAAAAAAGGGGTTGCTTAAATTGATTTGTTGAATAGAGGAAGGGAAAATAGAAAAGAAAGGATGGAGTGTAAGGGGAAAATAAATGTTGAATTGAATAAAGAAGAGCGCAATTGAGGTAAAGTGCTAAAATCGGTTTGGTGTATACAAAATGAAAAGGATTCGAGGCACTTTAGGTGAACCAATTTTCCTGACTGTTATGAAAAATGAAGTGAGGTACCCGAACGATGTCATAGAAAATAGTAAAGTATTATATATTTGCATGTTTTTCCCAATTGATTACAAACATATTATTATTTCTTATACATTGATTGCATATTTCATTGAGCTTTAGTTCATTAGTGGTGTTTGTGTTATAGGAAAGGGAAAGTAGCCCGTAGGGCACTAGAGTGACTGAACTTTTTATATACATACGCTTTTTTAGTGCACAATGAGATATGATTAGGAGCTTAATAGGAAATACATGAGTTCGCAAGTAACCCTAGGGTAATACTTGAGTTCACAAGCAAGCCTAATCAAAATCGGTGGGGAAAACAGTAAGAAAATTGCTGTTTTCAGCAGTGGACAGCAACCAACACAGGAAAACAGAGAGAAATTTGAAGGAAAAATCAGGAAACAACTTGTATTCCAATAGTAGATGATTGAAAACAACTAACGATATAATGTTCTTCAATTTGAGAGGAAGAACAACTCTCCAAAACTCTCTAGCAAAGCCTAGAGCCCAAAATTAAGAGATCTCAAAATTTCAGCAAATCTCATGATAAAACCCTAATTCTATCATTACTCGCTAATTAAAGCTAAATGAGAGATACAAATTCCCTAAACTCCCTTTTAATTAAAAATTTCCCTCCCAACATTGTATTTAAATCAAGCTGGGGCCCACAAGGAGTTCCGCCCCCCCTCTTCCTTGTTGGTTCCGCCGGCTATACACAAGGAGGTTGGATCGGTCCAGCCGGCCCCTCCTGGGCCGGCCTATCAGTACTCCCCTCCCAAAAAACTCACTTTATCCTCAAGGTGAAAATAAAGGAACTGCTGTTTCACAATCTCATAGGGCTCCCAGGTAGCCTCGTAGTCGGGGAGATACTTCTTTTTGATCAACACATCTTTGTTTCCCTTTTTATCAAATCCTACCCCTTCCAGCTCCACGAGTTCCATGTCCACCTCCAAATCCTCCGTCAATGATGCTGGTAACTCAACACTAGGTGCATGCTCCCCTAGCGCTCTCCTCAGCTATGACACATGGAACACCTGGTGTATGGTAGCGGAGGGTAACTTCAGACGATACGCCACTGCTCCAATCTTTCCTAAGATCTCATAGGGACCAAAGTACCTCGGGGCCAATTTCTCGTTCCTCCTGTTAGCCACTGATTTGTGCTTGTAGGGCCTTAGCTTCAAGAACACCTTCTCCCCCACTTCATATTGTATGTCTCTCCTGTGTGTATCTGCTCGCTTCTTCATGATTTGTTGTGCCCTTCCCAGATGTTTCTTTAACTCCAACACTTGATTTCTTTCCTCTAGGTACCATTCAACTGAAGAGTTAGGTGTGTTTCCCCTCCCATAATGCACTAAGTGTGGGGGGTCTCTTCTATAGAGCACTTTGAAAGGGGTCATTTGAGATGCAGAATTGTATGAAGTATTATACTAATATTCCGCCCTTAGCCCACTTCTGTATTGTTTCAGAAGAAAAATGCCTCTAATATGTCTCCAAGCTCCGATTTATCACCTCTGTCTGTCCGTCTGTTTGTGGATGGTAGGTGGTACTTCTCTTGAGAACAGTGCCATGCATTCTAAAAAGTTCCCTCCAAAATTGACTAAGGAACACTTTATATCTATTAGATAATTGATTCAGGAATCCCGTGTAATCTAACCACTTCCCTAATAAATGCTGCTGCCACTAATACTGCGGTGTAAGGATGTCGTAGGAGGATGAAATGTGCATACTTACTGAGTCGGTCCACCACTACCAAAATGACTGTGAATCCCTCTGAGCGGGGTAGGCCGTCGATGAAGTCCATGGACACTTCCTTCCATACTCTGTTTGGAAGTGTCAATGGTTGGAGTAACCCTCCTGGTGCCATTGCCATATATTTATTTCTCTGGAACACCTCACACCTTGCCACCATATCATCAACATCTTTATGCATCCCCTTCCAGTAGAGCTCAGCTGCAAGCCTCCTGTATGTCTTCTGAACTCCTGAATGGCCTCCAACTGCGCTGCCATGAAACTCTTGTAACAAGTGGGGAATATGTATGGAAGTTCGTGGCATCACAAACCTCCATTGATATAATAGTTTCTCCCCCTCAATGCAATAACCAAGATGGCTACTCTTGTCTTTCCTCAGATCTTTCCTAATCTTTTTCAACTATTCATCCAGCATGCTTTCTTCCTTGATGTCCCCCCAGTCGACCATCAAGGATACAGATACAGCTAATTCCTGTAGCTCCCCCACACATCTGGATAGAGCGTCAACTGCTTTATTTTCCAAACCTGACATGTACTGAATCTCGAAATCGTAGCTCAATAGTTTGGATAGCCATCGCTGATGCTCCTCAGTCACCATCCTTTGCTCCAAGAGGTACGTTAAGCTCCTCTAATCAGTCCGGACGGTGAAGTTTCAACCCAAAAGATGGGGCCGCCACTTTTGAATGGCCAAGACAATGACCATCAGCTCCCTCTCATACACTGAGTTTAGTCTTGCCCTGGTTGATGGCACTTGACTCAAGTATGATATAGGCTTGTGGTTCTACATCAACATTGCCCTCAACCCATATCCTGATGCATCGGTCTCTACTACAAAGACCTGCTGAAGTTTGGAAGAGCTAGAATAGGAACAGTGGTCATGGCTTTCTTTAACTTCTCGAAGGCCTGGGTCGCTGCCTCTCCCTAGGAAAAGTTATTTTTCTTCAACTGCTCAGTCAAAGGCCATGCAATGGTATTATACCCCTTCTTAAACCTCCTGTAATAACCAGTCAATCCTAAGAAATCCCTCAACTTCCTTATGTTCCTAAGCAGTGGCCATTTCTGTATTGCCTCAATTTTGGTTTGGTCCGTTGACACTCCTTGGGATACCACATGTCCCAAGTACTCCATACTAGACTGAGCAAAGCTGCATTTCTTCAGGTTGGCTCTTAGTTGATGCTCCTGCAATACTTCTAAGATCACCCTCAAATATTCAAATGCTCCTCCACATTCTTGTTGTACACCATAATATCATCAAAAAAGACCAAGACAAACTTCCTGAGGTGCTGCTTGAATATCCTGTTCATCAAAGAATGAAAGTAGCATGAGCGTTAGTCAATCTAAAGGGCATTACCATAAACTCATAATGCCCTTTATGTCTCATGAAGGTTGCCTTTGGAACATCTGTCTTCCTCACTCTGATCTGGTGGTATTCGAATTTTAAGTCCAACTTTGAAAACACCACTGCTCCATATAGCTTGTCCAATAGCTCATCAATCACCGGAATTGGAAACTTGTCTAGTATAGTGCCCTTATTCAGAGCCCTATAATCCACACAAAATCCCCAACTCCCATCCTTCTTTTTGACCAGGAGGACTGGACTAGAAGAAGGGTTAACAATTGGTCGGATGTTCCCTGCCTCCAGCATTTCCCAGATCAACTTCTCAATCTCATCTTTCTGAATCTGTGGGTAACGGTAAGGGCGAACACTGATCGGTGTCTCCCCTTCCTTCAAGGTAATGGCGTGCTCTAACTCCCTTTGAGGTGGTAAACCCAGTGAAAGTTGAAAAACCTCGCTGAACTAGTGTATGAACGGCTGCATTGAAGAGGAAATATTACATTCTTCCTCTAGTCTAACGCCTTTCAGGCGATGCAACTCCACCAAGTAGCCTCCTCCCTCTGAATGGCCTTGATTAGGGATTTGAGAGAAACTCCAGCCTTGGTCAGTCCGACATCACCCTGAATCGTCCTCCTTCCCCCAATCACCATTTCCATCCTCAATGTACCCCAATTGATCTTGGTCTCGCCAATGTTTGCAGCCACTTATCCCAAGAATGACATCAATACTCCCCAATTCCAAGAGAAGGAAGTCCTCCCTCACCTGGATCCCCTGAATCTTCAGCACTACCCTTCTATAAAATCCTCTACCCATTTTCACCTATCCCGTTCCCATCATCACCCCATAGCCTCCTGTATCCACTAACTCCATCCCAAGCAGCTCAATGATCTGGGTGGAAAATGAAATTGTGGGTTGCCCCACTATCTATCAATACCACCACCTCACTTTCAGCTATCTATCCTTTTACTTTCATAATGTGACTCGGAGTGAATCCCACTACAGAGTTCAGATAGACTTCTTCCACATCTAGATGTAACTTCTCCTTCTCCTCTTCAGACCTGATCCCATCTCCCTTCTCGTCTTCCTCGTCTTCACGAACAAGGAGAACCTGAAGAGTTCGGTCCTTGCACCTATGCCCCGAAATGTATTTCTCATCACATCTGAAGCACAACCCCTTTGCCCTCTTCTTCTGCATCTCCTTCTCCGTTAGTTTTTTGAACTGTCACCCGTTTCCCCCTCCTCCAGTTTTTTCCTTTGGCATTTCCTTCAGACTCCCTGGTGCTACCCCTTTTGAAGGCAAGAAGGTAGTGGTCATTCTGTATGATCCCCCTTAATAGTTTCCTCGAGCCCCTCTTTCTGATTTCTTCTAATTTTCCACCAACTGCTTCAGCTCCATAGCATTCCCTAGGTTCCTCAGCCCCAGCGCTCTTAATGTTGTTTGTATCTTAGGTTTAAGCCCCTTCATGAAGTTCCCTTCCAGGACTGACTCCGAAATATGATCCAATCTGCTAGCCAAGTACTTAAACCTGTCCCGATAATCTGCCACAGTCCCCTCCTGAGTCAAGACAAAGAATTGCTCATAGAAGTCTGTTCCCCTATCGGCGCAGAAACGCTCTAATAAGTAATCTTTGAACTTTCTCTAGCTCTGGATGGGCTCCCTCCTGTCACACCACTGATATCATGCCAAAGCTTTTCCTTCCAAACACAATCCCGCCGCCTTCAGCTTCTCTTTATCTGTCAGTCCGTTGACAGCAAAGTAACGCTCCACCTTGTAGATCCAGCAATAGCCGTCTTCACCCTCAAAGACGGGCATCTTCAGCTTCCTCACCCGTGGGTCTTCCCCGTTTCCCCTGAATCCTCCATAACCTCCCATTCCTCTAAAAGGAGGTGCTCCCCAACTATCATGATCTTCCCTCCGGCGATTATACCCGAACCCTTCATCGTATTCCTCTCTTCTCCCTTCAAAATCAGCACCTCGGCGATGAAATTCTTCCCTTCTCTTGACAAAATCAGCACCCCTTCGGTCATTTCCCAAACTCATCTCCTCTCTAGAAAGTGGCTCTAGAGGTGGCATGTCGTCCTCTCCCTCAATGATCTCCACTTCCGGATTTTTCCTCCCCCTAGACGGGTTCAGATTCCCTCCTACGCCATGGCCTCCGGTGGTTTCTCTTGCTTCCGATGTCATTGGATTGGTCTTCATCTCTAGCAATTTTTTCAACATCTCTTCCATCACCGTGAATTTCCCTTCTATCTTTTCATTGTTGGAGGTGATTTGATTTTGAAAATTAAAGAATTTTCCCTCCAAATCTGATTTTAATTGATCGATCTCGCCTTCCAAGACTTCTTACTTCTTCCCGGCCATCTCTCTTCCCAAGAATCACAAGAGATATTCTTCCGGTTGTTAAAAAAATCCGTTGAAATTTTAGAATTTCAGCCGCTGATGGTCCCAAATCGATGCTCTGATGCCAATTTGATAGGAAATACTTGAGTTTGCAAGTAACCCTAGGGTAATACTTGAGTTCATAAGAAAACCTAATCGAAATTGGTGGGGAAAATAGTAAGAAAATTGCTATTTTCAGCAGTGGACAGCAACCAACATAGGAAAATAGAGAGAAATTTGAAGGAAAAATCAGGAAACAACTTGTATTCCACTAGAAGATGATTGAAAACAACAAACGATGCAATGTTCTTCAATTCGAGAGGAAGAACAACTCTCCAAAACTCTCTAGCAAAGCCTAGAGCCCAAAATCAAGAGGAGATCTCAAAATTTCAGCAAATCTCAAGATAAAAACCTAATTCTATCATTACTCCATAATTAAAGCTAAATGAGGGATACAAATTCCTTAAACACCCTTTTATTTCAAAATTTCCCACCCAACATTGGATTTAAATCAACTGGGGCCCACAAGGGGTTCCGCCCCCCCCTCTTCCTTGCTAGTTCCGCCGACTATATAGAAGGACCGGTCCAGGTTGGATCGGTCCATCCGGCCCTCCTGGGCCGGCCTATAGAGCTGGAAAGACACTTTTAGGTATATAAAATTTTTTTGAGAAGTTTAGTAAAGCTCTTTATTTCATGTGAGGTTGCGTTTTATTTGAGATATTTTACATATGCTTCATGTTGTTAAGTATAAAACTTTATGGTGCTAGGATTGTCTGAATAGGCTACTTCCTACTCACTTGATTCTAAGTAGTTTGGAATAGGTATTAGTGAGAAATGTCTTTTCTGATTCTCTCTGTTGCACTCTAGATTGACTTTTGGGGGTGGGGGTCAATTTGAGGTTTGACAAAGGGAGTTAGGTAGAGGTTTGATAGGCATCAGGAAGGAGGCTGCTTGCTAGGCTTGGGAGCTTGTGGTTGTGGGTAGGGAGCTGTAGAGCATGGTTGTTTATGTTTGTGTACGTGAGAGGGTCGGGTAGGGCAAGTATGCATGACTTGTGTGACATAGAGAGATAGGGAGTAGGTAGTGTCGTTTCTGCTGTGTGAGAGGAAAGAGTTCGAGAAGGTGGGCGTCGAAGAAGCGAAAAGTGGGCCATCGAAGGTGTGGAGTTGGGTGGAGTTGGAACCGTTATGTAGTATGGGCTCAAGAATGAGAGGAATGAAGGAGAACAAGAGAGATTAATGGAGAGGGGCTCATGGGTCGAGCAGGTGTTGGACAAACTCATGTACATAAGGAGAGTAGAAAGTGTGAATTGTTAGTGGATCGTATTGCTGTTTTTGAACGTGAGAAAATAAAGGGAGAAAGTTAAGGATCGAGCGAAGCAGAGTTGCTAGGTTCTGTCAGGTATGAGGAGCATAGTTGAGTTATATTTTTTTATTTTCTAGCTACCATCGTGCGAGACGTTCCACGCCAAAATTTTCAGGAGGTAGGGATATGTTGTGATAGGATTGAATTTAGATTATGATATATATTTTTATTATTTTTAAATTTAATTATGCAAAATTATATATATGAATATAATTAACTTGAAATAAAACAAAACAAATATTTAGATGAACAAATAAATGTGAATAATCCCCCTGTACAATTTCTTGTTATCCATGCATCTTGGTTTACATGTAATCACCTCGCGCGCTGATGAATTATTGAATTTGTACTCATGTAGCGACATAAGCAATATGAGTCTCTTGTCTAAGTAAATTCGATGTTTCGAACATAATGACAAAGTTTATTTCATGAACAAAAATCATTCGGACAACCTCGTATAATGTCGCATCCATAGCATGTTGTTCTCGCTCATGTTTTCTCGTATTGAACACAAGGGGTGCTCTCTCTGGTAAATTCAACGTTTCAAGCATAGAGGTTCACTTTGTTTTGCAATCAAATGAAGTTTGAGTGATTTCGATAGAGGGCGTCCTGAACTCACTATAAGCGACGTCATGTCCAATAGTAGCCTTTCTTATCCCATTCACTCAAATTTGTTGTAACATATGTGTGTGGGTTAATAGTTCCATCATTCAAGATTTTACTCATGGGACATGGCAGAGAGGCTATGGGATATTGATGCGAGAAAAAATCTCCCTGGGGAGAGGGACCCCAAGAAGATTCTTGATCACAAAAAAAAAAGGCAACACACTTAGCTAATTTTAGGGAAGAACAAACTCTTACATTTCAAATAACACACTTACAAACTTGACTCTAACAAGACAATACTCTTACAAACTTGACTCAACCAAGACACCCTAAAGAAGCTTTCCAAAAGAAGAAGGATACAGGTGGGGTGTAAACTTGCGGAGAGACGAAAGAGATTAGAAGCCGAGAAGAAGGGTGGAAAGTACTCGCAAGTCTTTCCTAGAGGAGATGAGAAGAAGGTAGACAAAGCTCGCAAGCTCCTCCAAGAAAATCCCAAGGATTTCTTTTCGAAACTTCATATATCACTTTCTTTAAAACATTACAAAACCCCTCATATTTATAGGTATGAAAGGGGAATACAAACAGCCACATAATTGAATTCCCACAGGAATCCAAGTAACACAAACCACGGAAACCCCCCCCCCCCCCCCCCACC